TGTACCTGGCTACGTGACCGTTGATTGCTGCACGCGGTCAATGATTTTTCTTGTTAGTATTGAAGTATTGTTGGTTTCTTTTTAAAAGATATTACGCCATAAAATGTAGCTATAGACCTGCGTTATTAGTTCGCATCAAAGTGGCGCTGACTTCGCGTGACGTAATGAAGTCTTAGCGCATCTTCAGCAACTTTCCATCGTGCTCACGCAGCTGTGCGCGCAGTTTCGTGGTCGCTAAATGTTTGGAGCGACATGAAGGTGGCAGGTAAGCAGTTCTTGGAATTCATCGTGAGAGGACTTAGTACGCCATTATTCCCTAAAACCTGCGTTATCCTAACCCTGGTCTTCAGGCAATGACGGAAAAGGTTCGATTGAGTGACGACATAAGGCGGACTTTGCGCCTCGCTCTTTAGGTGAACTGATAGTTTGACGAAGCGTCATCTGGTCGGGAAGAAGTATGCACGAACGAAATAAAATAGCGCTGATCGAAATTAAAAAAAAACATTTAATAAGACGTTTCGGAGGCCGTATATGGTAGCCTTGTTCACAGTTAAGTGGCCCAGCGAAGCGGGCTTATCTCCGTTGCAGTAGAGTAATCAATTGTATACAATTACTCTGCATTGTAGAATGCTGTCAAGACACCTGGCATACGTTGGGCAAATTGAATTTTCTGTTCAGTAAGGCTCTGCGTCTGTCGAGCGTTTTTTTTTTTTTTTTTGCATAGTCTGGGCAAAACGGGATTCCGGATATTGACGCGAACACCAGTCTGTTTCGCTTGCGACAACCGTTGCCTCGGTCCTGTTAACGTAAAGAATCCGAAACGTCTTTTTTCAATGTCTTAGACCTTTTCATGTTAGTCGGCGCTATTTCATTTTGCTTGTATTTCACCTCTTCTTCGGGTAACTGGTGTTAGTAATCCCACTTGGTCGAAACTACTGGAGCCTACAATGTGCGTCGTAATCATATCGTAGTCTGGGGCGACGAAAACCCCAGCGGTAATGTGTCCCCCGCTTGGGGAGCCTTCATGTGTGCCCCACGCGAAGACGGCGAGCACGTGAACGCTGCTTATTCCGGCCAGCGGGATGGTGAGTCGCCTCTCGCGAAGGCCCGGGACATATCAGCATACAAAATGACATCCTAGAGGCCTCGCGTGGCGGGAAAGCTTGCGTACTTCCCCAGGGTGCGTGCCGCGTGCGACCGCAGAGAAGGCCTCACCACATGTATACCCGTTGCAGCGCGGGGCTTTCTAACGTGGCGCCCCCTTTCTACAAAGAGAGAAGGCGTGTGGCTGCGCGAAGCTGTGCGCCTACTCTCTCCATAGAGAGAGGGCGCGGCGTCAAAAAGCTACGCGCCGACGCGCTGCGACGGGTACGTGTGGTCAGGCCTCAAAGGGGAGCTCCGGTGCATTTTCGACCATACTGAGATAATGCTGCTTTCAAATAGTATTGACGGTTGCCCAGGCACTCGTCAGTAATTTTAATTAAGCAATAAACGACGAGTTAAAACAGAAACCGAAACAGGAAGGTGCCCTGTCGTGGTGGGTACGAGATCCACTACAGCCCGCCACGCCTGGCCAGGGTGTAAACATAGCTCACGTGCCTCTTCAGACGCGCGAAGAGCAAGTCGGCGACGTAATTCGACGCGGAACCGAGCTGTGCCAGCTCCTCTGAACTCACCAATGACAAGTTCAGCGATGATTGCAGCTACTGTCGGAGCGTGGAAGCATCTGCCATGCCCCGAATCTATTTCCTCGTTGCTCAATATTCTAGGACCCGATGTCAACGAAGATTAACACGCTGTATACAGCTGAAAAAAAAACAGAACTGGGCTCGCGTTCTCGTCACCGCGTAGAAGACAGCGCGCGCTGCATCCGTCTGCTGGTAAAGGCGGGGTTTTTGAAAGACACTAGGCCCTTACGTCACATACACAGGGTGGCCCGCGTTTTCAAATGTGATTCCAGAATCGGCTACCAATTTACCAACTTTAAACTTTGTTTTTTTTTTGTTTAGAAAACTAAATTACTAATTTTTGTATAATTTTACACATATCACCACGGTACCGACGGGAACACATGTTCAAAGTTTTATTGAAATCGGTTTTAATGAAATCGAAAAAAGTTGGCCAGGCCTTGAAGGTTGAGCAATCTTGGTGAAATTCAAACATGCTTTCGATCAGGGATCGGCAATTTAGACAGAGGGCGGAATTGCATGAGGGCGACACAACGGGAGATAGGGGGGGCACGAAAAATGGGAGAGGGGCTCTGCAGGCATAGCGTTAAAATTCGGCGAATTCACACTACTCTGTACCTCAAAAATTAGAAATCATTTTTTTTTAGCACACATGTCACGAAGTTGCAGTCATACATAGGTGGAAAACGAGAATTTTATTTCAAATTAGAATTGCCACGTCGGCCGTCACATAGGAACCGAAAATGCCGCGCAGCGGGGAACCGTAAGTTGCCGACCCCTGCTTAGGATGAGTCACGCATTAGGGAATGGCGCCCCCAAGCCCTTTGCGTATGGACGCTTTGGGTCAAGCAGGAGTGAAGCGTTTTCGAACAGGGTCTGCGACGCTTTGGACACTCTCCCTATTTTAAGTCACTTGTCTTGGCCGAGAGCCGTCGCTTCACTGGGCGTTGTCACGTTTGTCTGACACAAAGCTTCTGGGGCAGGCTTTGGGGCTCCCGCTAAATTCGAGAAATAGCGTTCCCAACGCGATACCTAGACTTTTGGGGCCCCTATTCGAAAACTCCCTGTTGAGTAGTGCAATGAAATGCAAACACGCTTGCGATTTAATGATAATCAAATGATTTTTCTCGCGTGGTTGACTTAGAAAAAAGAAAATGTGACATGGCAAGGATTTTCACGTATTGTAGGCATAGCCAAGACATCCGGATTCGCGGTTTTAAAATTTACATTACTGTGAATAGATGCTTGGGAATACCTCCACTGGCACGTTAAATTTCCGGAGCCCTCCACTACGGCGTCTCTCATAATCATATGGTGGTTTTGGCACGTTAAACCACACAAATCAATCAATCATCAAGACCTCCACTTGACTTAATTTCTTTTTCATCGTTAGCATTCGTGCATGCTCGTCCGTGATAAATTTCTTGATAGGACGTGTTGCGTTCGAATTCAAAAGCGGCAGTGCTTATTGAACTAAAAGTTTGTTTTTTTAGATGCGGAAGCATCTTATACTCGCGCCTTGTAGTGCGCCGTCCGCACCGCTTCTCGAACATTCGACAGCTGACGCGCGCGCATGCGCCGTCGCGCCGTCGCCCACTCTTCCACCATCTGTGCATCCCTTCCTCCTCTACACACCGCGCGCGCTTCACTCCTCCACCATCTGTGCACCCTTCCTCCTCTACACACCGCGTTCGACATCTACAATTCTCCTGATTCTCCAGTGGACGCGCATGTGGCGTCGCGCTTCGAGAACATTCAACAGCTGACAGTGCATGCGCCGTCGTGCTGTATATATACTCAAGGTCGGCGCTCGCTCGCTCAGTTGCCGCTCGTCGGTTGGTTTGTACGGCGCGTCGACGTCCAAGGTCGCGGTGAAATGAATTCCAACGAATCCACAAACACAATGATCGACGTCCCTTCGACCAGCGCCGCCCTTTCGCATACGTGTGTACGTGTTCACTCATTTAACACCCCCTCCTACAACCACGTTAACCAATTTAGCCATCGACCCAAGTAAGTCGCAATTTAACACCCCATTTCACAACCACGTTAACCAATTTAGCCATCGACCCAAGTAAGTCGCACTTTAACACCCCGTTAACCAATTATATGCTCCGCATCCTCCTCAGTGTTCCCCCGAGGGAAGCTGCGGGCAATTTTTTTGTGACTGCACATAAGCAGAAGGCGCCGGCGTTAACAGCTGGATTCTCTTGCGAACGCCAGCTTTGTTTGAAAGCCGTAACCGGCGAGCGCGTCGCAGTGAGTGGGGCTGGATATACGAGGCTGCATCGGCGTCCATAGAAGTGCTGCTGCCTTCACTCCGATGTAAAGTGCTGTGGTGTCTCTTTGCGTCTCGGGAAACACGTGGTTTCCTGCGTTAAGGCCTGACCACACGAGTGCGCCTTGCATCCTGGCAATGTGCCGCTTGCTGATGAGGCGCCGCGTCATCTCATTATGGTGAGAGAGGGGAGCGCAGCGTTGCTGCACTCCCCTCTCTCTCAAAGGAGAGGGCGCCGCGTCATAAAGCCACGCGCTGACGGGCAGCAACGCGCACGTGTGGTCAGGCCTTTAGAGTTGGCGTTCCGCACTCAACCGCCAACTGTCCCCGTGCGTCTTCAGTGCTCAAAATGAGCTGAATGCTGGCGACCCTCGTATATAGTGGAGCTGAAAAAAAACCCCCAAAAGCAGCGCGAACCACCGGGACCACAGGAAATAAATTATTCGCTGTCTGTCTTCGTGGTTTGGCTCGCGACATTTCTCGTGTCCTAGGAAAATGTGCCAACGGACCCAAATAAGCATTCGAGCCGATGGAAAACGACGCTATGGCTCATTGCGAACGACATTGTAAGTACGTCTTCATGCACTTGAGAACAGCGCATGTCCAATCGCATTTGGCGTCGTCAGTTAGCCCTTCAACTGGATCCCAAGTATATGGTTCCGGCACTTTGAGCAACGCTTCTTGCGGCTGTGTGCAGATTTTTTTTTTTAACACGAAGATGTCTGAACTCTTGATTGTGCACTGAAGCGCCGCTGCTTGTATAGGTCATCACACCGTCACTTTCTTCTACACCCGTGGCAATGCACTAGCACGACACAGTCGGGAGGGGTGGTGTCTGCGCTGGATGGCAGAATGCACCTCCATAACGGGAACACCCATCCAACATGTCTTGGAGGCATTGAAGACGGAAATCGGTGTTCCACTGGCTGGTCCACTATAATCATAGCTGTCACTTCATTCGCGCTACAGGCGACCCTGCCGACGTGGAATGGTCGAGCGCCCTGTTGGCCTTCCGTGCCTTTTCTGGCTCAAGCTCAAGGCGGGAAGCTCCCGAGGCTCGCGGTGAAGTAGGAGGTGAGCGCGACCAGGATTGTAGTCTGGCTGGTGCTGGCCGCGGCCGCCCGGTGTCCGCGCCACAGCTTGAGCGATACGGCGGGTGCACGTGCACCCAGGGCCTTGGCAGGCAGCGACCGAGGACGCCTGCGCAGAAGGAGCGTCGGAATGAGCGTCAATCGCGTCACTCGCAAAGCTTCCGTTTGAAGTGTCAGTGAATGGGAAAAAGTGGGAAATGCGGTTAAATGGTAAATGCTTGATTGAGATTTACAGCCAGTTTAGCGTCGTGAACTGCCGCCTCATCTAGATATCTCAAGAAGGAAAGAAAAATAGGAGGAAAAGAACGGCAGGGAGGTTAACCATGCCTATAGACAGCCGGTTTGCTACCCTACGCATGGGATGGGGTTGGGGGAGATGAAAGATAGAGAGGAGAGAGAGATAAACACAGCACATTCGGCAGCACACGCGCGCACAGATATCTGAAGAGATGCTGATACACGGGACGGTCACAAATCGCAGCGATTTCAGGGGAAGACACGTTCTACCTGTGGCAACTCACAGAAAGAGTGATTTAGAAATATCGGGGCAGGAATGATCTAACGATGATTGTCGAAGTTTATAAGTGCTCAGCATTTCGTCACCATGCACGCACACTACAGATAGCACAGGTGTACTAATTTACTAACTCCATCGACATTGCACGCAACGTGCAAGGCCATCATCAGCAGCAGCATCATCAACAGAGCCGGAGGCGTCACCTGTGGAGCCGTGTAAGTGAAACACGTATATATAGCTTGTCAAATGCGTATGATATTGCATTAGATGTCTCACGTTGACATCGCAAGGGTCGGTGCCTTTCCGTCGCTTGTTTTTTTTTTTCGTGCTTGTTCTTTCGCATTGTTTTCACGCTGAGATTCATGGTGTCACGCCAAGCAAGTAGTGTAATGAGTGGCTTTATTTAAGCAGCCCATTTTTCACTAAGGGCTGCGTCACAATTCATTGTCATCAGCAGGAGCATCAACAAATGTGATTTATGTTTGCTGTAGTATTGAATACGTGGTCTATGAGTGGAGAGGAGGACGCTACATCCGTTGTGACGAGCTAATTTGAATCACGCGGAATGGCGAATCAACGTCGCGCCCTATCCTTTCACAGTGAGAGGGCGGGACGCCGAGTCTGCACGCCACGCACTGTGGAGCTGCAACGCTTACATGTGGTCAGACCTTGAAGGGACACTAAAGAGGAACAATTACTCGGTTTAGATCGACAAACTGCACTCTGAGAACTCTAATGCCACATGTTTCACTATCATAAGTTCATTAATAGCCGAGAATATCAAGGTTCAAACTTAGTTCTCAAATTTCGCGCCAAATTTTCCGCGTGTAGCGTGAGAAAATTCACAGTGTACTTTCGGTTTTTCCGTGGTATTGGCTCGATGAAAATTTCTGAAACTTCGCATGCTGAGTCTACGGCACCCACAGGTTACAATGTACTTCATTTTTATCGATTGAAAAGTGATTTTGGGACCCAGTAGATGCCTTCAAAATTTCTTTCGTCACGGTATTTGGTGCGGCAATCATAAGATGGCGTCGCCACACTCATTTTATTTTCGCGCGTTTTCTCGCTTTCCAAGCGTGTTATCGCGATAAGAGTGGTGTTTACGGGATTGTCATATTGCATTTTACAAATACGCTAAAGATGGTTTCGCTCTTTAGTGTCCCGTTAAAAAGAGAAGTAGACGCAGACTGCGAATGTTCACTGAAACTGTTACTTTCTGCATAGAAGAAAAGTGGTTCACTACAGCACTGCCAGGGTGCACTGCAAACGTTTCACGTCGCATACTGGCGACAGTTCAGAAGAGAACTCTCAATTTTTTTTTTTTTTTTTGGGGGGGGGGGGGGGGTGTCACACACATTTTTCGGAACACCGATGGGTTTTATGGCGGGTCTCATGGAGCCATTCCACGAAAAGGAGGCACGCCACGTGTGCTCACCAGGTGGAGTCCAGGCGCACCCATAGATCGTTGAACTTCCTCGGCCTGGAGGTGGTGGGCGGCGACGAGAGGAAGGGCCTCTTCTTGGCCTTCCGGCGCCGCCATCCGGGTGCCTGGTCGGCGGCCGACTGCTGCTGCTCGCCCAGCACCTCCGCAGGGTCCGGCCACGAGCTCTCCTGCTCGCCGCCCTTCTTCACCCTGGAAGCCCGAGGGAGCATAGTACACACGATCGACACCTGGCTCACGGGTGCAACCATAGAGTTTCCCAATATACACTAAAGGGAACTCTGGCGCTAGTGTCTATGAAAGCTGCAACGCACGGCGCTTCAGCGAGCATGGGAATGATGGGTAGTACACACATTTGTCTAAACTTCGTACTTCTGGCCTGCTTTTGGCTCCGTGTGTGTTCGTGTGGCTTGAAGCTGTTTTCTCACGAAACAAAAATCAGCGAATGTTCAGCAATTGCGCTTCACCGCCCTATTTTTTCGAATTACCTTTCCAAATTGGGTCACGAAGTTCAAAAGGGTTGAATATTTCTTTCAAAACAAAATCGAAACACAGCAATAAACGAAGCTGCATGTACGATTCGCCGCCCGCAAGTGCGAAGACTAGGCAAATGTGTGTACTACCCATCATTCCCATGGTCGCTGAACGATCGCAGCGCCAGAGTGCCCTCTAGTTAATTTTGAGAAACTCTATGGGTGCAATGTCATTTGGCCCTTCAAAATAATGGGGATAAACAGCTTACACAGGAAGGCACTACGTCCTCGAAGGTCTGGGTTTCTTTCTTTTTGTCCTTATGCCAAAGGATGTACACAAATGGCGAAGGTATAAGAGCTGGGCCTTGCTATAGCTCGGACGGCTTACCAGCTTCTGCTTTAACGAAAATAATATGAATTTCAAGAGCTCGTTTTTTTTAATAGACACAACATTATAATTAGTACTAACAGACAAGAAAGCCAAGGAAAGTATAGCGCATTTGTTGTTTTGTAGTCATTATGGTGTAAATGTAAATAAAGTGAGGTGGACAAAAAAATCAATCGAAGGCCGTAGCTACTTCGGTCCCTGCCGGCGGCAAGTTATCTTTTCGTCCAGTTTACTTTCTTCCCATTTACACCATAACGACTACAAAATAACATGCCCTATACTTCTTTTGGCTTTCTTATCTGTTAGGCCTAGTGAATATGTCCGTACAGTATACTTTGTATTGACTTGTGCTATGTATGGCCTGCGTGCCGAACTGTCGTAGGAGCAGAAGCCTTTGTCAGGCTACATGCCCTTTAGCTTCTGCTTCCTTTCTGTAAATTCGAAATGCCCCGCCACGGTGGTCTAGTGGCTAAGGTACTCGGCTGCTGGCCCGCAGGTCGCGGGATCGAATCCCGGCTGTGGCGGCTGCATTCCCGATGGAGGCGGAAATGTTGTAGGCCCGTGTACTCAGATTTGGGTGCACGTTAAAGAACCCCAGGTGGTCGAAATTTGCGGAGCCCTCCACTACGGCGTCTCTCATAATCATATGGTGGTTTGGGGACGTTAAACTCCACATATCAATCAATCTGTAAATTCGAAATTCAAATGCCGTGTCTAGCAAAGAACAACGATCCCTTAAAATTTCCCTTCTTTTGTTCATTCATATAGTGAGAATATCGTTCTGACAGACTGGTATGGATCTAAAAATACCTTGGTTTGGGCGAGTTGGTCAATCATAAAAATCTGGATGACTTCAGGTAGTATGCTAGGAATTATTGATCAAGAGAGCACGTGCTTTGTGACGACGGTATACATAGGCAGAAAAAAAAAATTGCCCGCAGCTTCCCTCGGGGGAACACTGAGGAGGATGCGGACCATATAATTGGTTAACGGGGTGTTAAAGTGCGACTTACTTGGGTCGATGGCTAAATTGGTTAACGTGGTTGTGAAATGGGGTGTTAAATTGCGACTTACTTGGGTCGATGGCTAAATTGGTTAACGTGGTTGTAGGAGGGGGTGTTAAATGAGTGAACACGTACACACGTATGCGAAAGGGCGGCGCTGGTCGAAGGGACGTCGATCATTGTGTTTGTGGATTCGTTGGAATTCATTTCACGCGACCTTGGACGTCGACGCGCCGTACAAACCAACCGACGAGCGGCAACTGAGCGAGCGAGCGCCGACCTTGAGTATATATACCGCGCGACGGCGCATGCACTGTCGCTGTTGAATGTTCTCGAAGCGCGACGCCACATGCGCGTCCACTGGAGAATCAGGAGAATTGTAGATGTCGAACGCGGTGTGTAGAGGAGGAAGGGTGCACAGATGGTGGAAGAGTGGGCGACGGCGCGACGGCGCATGCGCGCGCGTCAGCTGTCGAATGTTCGAGAAGCGGTGCGGACGGCGCGGACGGCGCACTACAAGGCGCGAGTATAAGATGCTCCGCATCTAAAACACGACATGAATGCCATGTAGTAGAAGGAGCCTCCTTCAAGGGCGCCTAAACCACTTGGCGCTCAGAGACGAGAAAGTAATTTCTCCCCCGACTTCACTACCCTTCCTATAAACGATATGTCCTCCTCGCCACCCATTTCTTAAAGCGCGGGGACGACGTCAGCACTAAGCGATAAGCTGACCACGATTTCGCGTTTGTCGGCTAAATACTGTTATCTACGTTTGCGCAATCGTAAATCAGTTGATCGCGAATGACAGTCATGCGAAACAAGAAAGAAAGCATGGACGGCTGCGTATCAAACGCGGTGCCACTCTCCCGACTACGCATTGAAAAGCGCAATCCCTGCGCGGTCCAGATTACGGTCGGGCCCGTTATCAGTTTTCTTGCAGTTTAGTTGGCGCCTTCATAGATGGCGCTACGATAAGTGGGGTGTCAGTCGTCTCGGCAACAACGCTACGGCAACGCGCGATTTGCTGATTCTGCGTCCTCTTGTTGGCATGTGCGGCCGCGCTGTTTTGAAGCCAGGCTTTCTTGTTCGCGTGCGTTTTATGCTCGTATGTCGACGAAGGTGGCATCGAATTGCTGAGAAGGTGTCTGAGAGCGCGTGTTTTGTACCGAACTGTCGTTCTGGCTATCCGACTTGTGTTGGTCCTGTCCCCCTCTTCAACTGAGCGCCGTTCGACAGTGGTCGCCTGGAGCAGCGGCGCCGTGCGACTCCGAAGGCAGGCTGAACCCTAGCTGATGCTACACTGACCGTGTCTGCCGGTAAGCATTCTTCCAAAGATGCGATTTTAACCACATAGCACGTGGTGCTTAAGGAACCGACGCTCCTTGACGCGCCGAAGACGCATCTGTGGATGCCATTCCCAAAAAGATGACGATAGTTATAGCGCGAGAACAAAACGACGACACAGAGACAAGAAGGACACGAAAGACACGTGTCTCTGTGTCGTCGTTTTGTTCTCGCGCTATAACTATCGTCATGCCATACCAACTAGCCCAAGCTGCCACACTTGTAAGCCATTCCCAACCTTATTTTCGAGCTGTTATAAACACCTCAGACGCTCAAGTGAGCCTAGAAAGGTATACCCCGGAAGAAAGAACATCCTGTCTAAGCGCTCAAACGATGTCGTCAGGAAGTTGGCACCATTGGTGTGAGCCGTACACGTTGACAGGATTTCTCGTGGTTAACATTGTAACGTAGCTATAACCAGCAAAATCTGGTTTCATCGTTGAGGTATATTCCAAGACAAATATTTTGCTTCTTTAGTTGCGGCCTCTTGAATCACTTCACCTGGCTACGTGTCGTTCGCGCCCCGCCGCGGTGGTCTAGTGGCTAAGGTACTCGGCTGCTGACCCGCAGGTCGCGAGATCGAATCCCGGCTGCGGCGGCTGAATTTTCGATGAAGGCGAAAATGATCTAGGCCCGCGTGCCCAGATTTGGGTTTTCTTCGATCAGCGAACTGGGAGCGCAGAGAAAACACAAAGGACGAAGCGAGGAACCACACAGCGCTCGTGTTTGAGCGCTCGTGTTGTGTGGTTCCTCGCTTCGTCCTTTGTGTTTTCTCTGCGCTCCCAGTTCGCTGATCGAAGAAAATGAATTACCAACTGGCCCACTTTTTGATCCTTTTGCAGATTTGGGTGCACGTTAGAGAACCCCAGGCGGTCGAAACTTCCGGAGCCCTCCACTACGGCGTCTCTCATAGTCACATATGGTGGTTTTTGAACGTTAAACCCGCACATATGAATCAATTACGTGTTGTTCGCCGCATTTTCTCTTGCTGCGCGTAATGCACTCGCGAAAGTTGTCGCACTTCACGCGGAAATTCAGCTGAAGCACTTACTGCCTGCTCTGGCAGGCAGACAGTGGTTGAACGTGAGTTGAACCACGAAACTTTATAACTTGATGTTCCCGTAACAAGTCCGGGACATGTAACTATATACCGACAAGGACGGTGCATGAAAAGTCGGGACAGTTTCGCGAAATCCGGGACGGTTGGTTATTCCTAGTGGAGGACTCCTCACTAGCTGTGACCACGCGGGGTTGTTTACCACTCATTTACGCGTAAACACAGGTGCGTTCTTTGCATTTCCCCACCTACGAAATGTGGCCGTGAAACGTTTTTGTGGAGGGATAGCACGCTGGCTAACGTTTTTTTATTATAATTTTACTATTTTTATGCATGGAACGTTAGGGAGCACTGGCGCGCGAGCCGGTTTGTCACGCAGTATTTTTTTTTTGTATTTCGCGGGCATTTGTAGTTAGCAGAAAAACACTAATAATTTAGAGATATAAAGTTCGAAGCTGTCTAATTGGACGTTTTGCAAACCGAACTACGACTTTCTCATTAATATCGTTTATCTATCTCCGTTCCTTGAAAAGTTCGTTAATTCAACAAATCTAATAAAGCAATATTTTAGAACACAAAATATAGTCTAATTTCAGGCAATGGTCAGCAACGTGCACGTGGTCGCGTCGTGATTGCGTGTGTTGTCAAATTTTAAAACTCTGGCTAAAGATAACTGGGGCACCCAGTATAAATTTTGAGGTTCTCTCCTATAAATCTTCACAAAGCGCATAAAAGTGGTTCTCGAAGCTAGAAATTTCATGGGAATGAAGCAAAACATCTCGCATTGTAAGATATTGACGCCCATGTTTTATAGACGGAGTAATTTGAGCGTGTATTTGCGTTGCACTACGATTTCTAGAAGTCGTTTTGCTACTAAGCAGCCAAATCAACCGACAGGGCTAGTTGTCCAAGACACGACCTTCGCTGTAAAAGAAGTTCTCCACCCGTGTGCTCAGATTTGGGTGCACGTTAAAGAATCCCAGGTGGTCGAAATCTCCGGAGCCCTCCACTACGGCGTCTCTCATAATCATATAGTGGTTTTGGGACGTTAAACCCCACAAATCAATCAAGAAGTTCTCCACGGCTACGCTCGCTCGCTAACTTGTTATCTCTTCAGCACCGCAGTGCTTCTCCGGACGAGTGCGGTGGTAAAAAGCGCTTCAATAACTGGTAAATGGAGACTCCAATCCCTGGTCTCTTAATGGAAAATTTCCTCGCAATTTTTCAGTGGCAAACTCGCTGGAATGGAAATTACAGAAGAATAAAGAAAGAAAACAAAACAAAAGACGGAAACAAAAAAAGGAGAGAAACAAAAGGGGAAAAACAAACAAAGCAAGTGAAGTAAAAATAGAAAACACAAGAAAAATAAATATATTTACAATGACTGATGATGTCCATTTGCCCACGTCGTATACATTAAGGAGAAGTGGTGATGTACAGCGCTTGATGCTAGTTGCAGATAGACGCTGTACCTCCCACATCCGGACACATCTTTTAAAGATGAGATCTCCAGTGAAAGTGTACTCGGTGTGTGGCGACTATACATCGATGCCATGCTTGGGCGGCGAGTCTTTATTTTCGTCGTTCATCTTGTCTTGTTTAGTCGGACCGAGAAGGCATCTCCATCATCACCATTCATTCACTTGAAAGACCCTGCTTGGAGTTTTACAAAAGCCCAGTCGTTGATGGTCTAGTGGTTAAATGGCACTCGACCGCTAAATCGATGGTTGCGGGTTCGAATCCCGGCTGCGGCGGCTGCATTTTCTGATGCAGGCGGAAACGTTTGAGGCCCACACCGATTTAGGCGCACGTTCAAGAACCCCAGGGTGGCCGAAATTTCCGGAGCCCCAGACATTATTATTACATGTAAGTTTCACAAAAGCGCAGCTTCGCCCTTGTGGTGCTAAACATGAGGGAAGTGCGGAAGTGCCCAGCCTTTGTTTCTCTTCCTCGTAGCTTTCTTTATTTTTTTTTCTTTCGTAGTCTATCTGTGTTCATTTCTATTTATTTCAATTTTTCTTCTGATTTCTTCCCTTTCTTTTTCTTTCTTTCTATTTCTAGCTTGTTTCTTTTTTCAATTTCTATATGTGGTTTGTGTTTTGGTGTTTTCCTACAGCAATAGCAGTAATGTCCATTGTAGTATCACCATCAAGGCACTCAAAGAACAAGAGAAAGAAGACTTATATTTGGCGCGAGCGCGCGCTTAATATGCTGCAGCTGGCGATTCTATATATGTGTAGTTTCGCCTGTGTTACGCCATGTGACGACGACAGCATAGAATCACAGGATACGACAAGGCCAGCCCTCTAAAGTGCTTCGCCCTTAAAGAAGCGGGAGGGGGAGGGGATGGCACTTTGGTGGACGTTATAGTATACGCGCATGCGTACTCACTCCGGTATGCTTCTCGTGGCCGCGATGTGCTCCACGTCGTATCCGCCCTGGCGCACGAAGTCCAGCACTGTGTTGTTTCCCAGGAAATGGCCTACGGTGCGCCACGCAACACGGATCAGCCGCAGCAACACCACTTGGTTAACAATGACGCTTTTAAATACTCTCTAGTGCAAAACAGTAAGCGCATTTACACCAATAAAACGATTCTCTGAAAAAAAAAACTGTTGTTAACTTCGGCATCGTGAGCTCATGTGTTGAAATAGTCTGAAGGTCAGTGAATATCGTGCTGAAAGCCGGAGACCTGAACGAAAGTTGGCGTCAGAATTAATAAGTTGTCTTTCCTTAGTCTCGCTTGTCAGCCACGTCGGCTCATGAATCAGACAGTGTTATGCTTTACGAGTAACTGAGGAGACAAGTAACCCCCACCGCGGCGGTATAGTGGCTAAGATACCCGGCTGCTGACCCGCAGGTCGCGGGATCGAATCCCGGCTGAGCCGGCTGCAGTTTTGATGGAGGCGGAAATGCCGTAGGCCCGCGTGTTCAGATTTGGGCGCGCCTTAAAGAACCCCAGGTGGTCGAAATTTCCGGAGTCCTCCACTACGGCGTCTCTCACAATCATATGCTGGTTTTGGGACGTTAAACCCCACACGTCAATCAATCAGGAGACAAGTAAATCAATTTATACATGTGAGCAACTTTGGAGACCTTAGCAGAGGCCCTCGAAACATAAAGGCCTGACTACATGCGCGAGTTGCAGCGTGTCAGCGCGTGAATTTTCGCCGCGGCGCTGACGCGTTGCAACGCGTACGTCTAGTCGGGCCTTGAAGGACGTCGCGGCGAGTGAGCGCGCGAACCTCGACAGCGACGTCGCCGGTTGCATTTTCGGTTTTTCGAAGCGTCTCCTCGCGCCGTGTTTTTTTTATAACAGCCAACCTGTTTAAGACACCATCGTAAATATTTTAGTTTGTGTATAAAAAAACTATCACCGATATTAACGTGCATGTGCTACAAAATTGGGCGAATCCTACATTTTACCGATGGTGGACTAAGAACGAAAACAACAGACGGGCGGCACGTACCAATCCAGATTTTTAGCAGGCCCGTAGCCGGAAATTTTTTTTCGGGTGAGGGTGGGGAAAGTTGCACTTGTTGGAAACATTAAAAAACACCTGTTTTTTTTCTTTTTTTCTTGGTAAAACACCCACTCTATCCGAATTTTTGAGGTGGGGGAGGGGGGGGGGGGCTAAGCCTTCTCGGGCCTCCTGGATACGACCTTATTTCTAGGCAAACGTAACTAGGCAGACGTAAAAAAAAAAAACATCAAAGAACTGTTGGGATTAAGTCAATGAATAACGCCGTGGCCACATCCGCTCTCAAGCATCTTTACGGTGCGCTTCAGTGGTACGTATACAACGGGAGAATATTACGGAACGGCAAATGCAGCGACGGCTGGTGAGAAAACCCCCAATCGATGGAAGCTCTACGCGAATGACGTGTCCGTAATATCTATGGGATGCACGAACGCTTGGTTTCAGCGAGGGTTTCCGTCTCTGGAGTTTGCACATCCGCTTCGTGTCTGTGACTGTCTGTAGTTTCAGTCGAACCTATCTGCGCTGAGGAGCAACATATAAACCACCTAGCGCCACCTAGCAATAGCCTAGAAGCAATCAGGTTGGACTTCGCTCATCTTGGCTGTTTCAATTAAGCCATGCACGACTAAGTGCAAGCCAACGTCCAAGTTTCGAATTCTATATTAATTAAATAATTCTTAATTAGTGTGTGTGTGTGTGTTTGTGGAAAGAAGTAAATTGCTAATGCAAGTGAAACACTTTCCCTTTCTTAGTCTTCCTATAAAAAGAAGAGAATCGGGGATTTCACCAATCCGCAAATGCGCTTCTCTGCTATTCATATTCGCCTTATTAATGGCGGCACCGGTGGTGCTTCAAGTGGAAATGAGGTCCTAGTTGCTCGTGTCTATTACCCGTGTCTATACCAAGACAACCGAGTGAACATTTCGCACGTCATAGCGCAAGCAAGCTGCTCGAATGCAATGCGTTTAGTAAGATGCTAGCTGCCATTCACCAACTGCATAGCAGAGAAGCACACTTGCGGTTTAGGAACTTCTCCAATTAAATGTAGTAACTTTACCCAGGAACGTATCATTGTTGCATCTGTTCACCATGGCGCCGACCTTAGTCTTTTGTCTTGCGAGGAAAAAAGGGAGGGGGTTTAGAAGTTGAACGTAAGAAAAGAAAAATACTACTTCTGCAGCTTTTGTTGAATTGGAACAAATTCGTATTTCTCAACGCTCAGTTCTGGGGCTTGTCTCGAGTCCTCTTTCCTGGCTCAAATATTTCTAGGGCAGGATAGACGGTCCGCGAATTATCCTTGCCGACTTTCCGTGCAGAAAGCGTGTCCCTCGTTCTAATTCAGGAAACCGACGCGCGGAAGGAAGTTTTGAAATCACTACACCGCTACCAGCACCACCCACACAATCTGCTTTTGTGTGTTATTTTTTTTTTCTTTTTCCTGGCTGGCTAAGACACTTTATCCCGGCGAACTATAGCCACGAAAGTTCACACCACACGATCGCTTAGGCGTGCTGTTGGCGTTTTTGCTTGCGGGCCTTTTTCATGCGAGGACGCGCCCCAGTTGCTAAAAAACAAAACACACACACACACAAACGGATGGAAACATTATCTAATTTTTTCTTTGTCTTTCTTTTGTTATGTTCTGCTTTTTTTTCAGTTTTCGCGTCCTTGTCATCAACTTCTTCCTTCTACTTGTTTGGCTTCCTTCGCCCCTTTCATTCATATTATTTTCCCGACTTTTGCGCCCGCGCGAAGTATACTGCTGGTCGGTGCTTTCAGGGAACAGGAAAAAGCAAACGTGAAAGATCGTTTTTCGTTTTCTCTCTCTTTCTCTCTTTGGCAGTAGAGCGTGCGCAGGTGCTGTTCTGCTAAGTGACGCAGAAAAGGTGTGCCGCCTTATGTTGGATGCAAAAAAAAACACAAAGAAAGAAGGACACCGGAAACGAATGGGCGCGGAAATCGGGTTGAAGAAATCCACGTGGCACCACAGTGGCTGCAACCACTTCAGCGCCGGCGCGACCCTTCTCATTCTTTACTTTTGTTTGTTTGTAACCTCCCTGTCCTTCCTCATTTATTCCTCCTTCTCCTCCTTTGTTCGTTTGGTTCTTGCACTACGACGTATAGCATTGCGCTCCAGTTGGCGTTGGAAACAAAGAGTTCTTATACAAATGGCACACATACGTGCGCACGCGTTTGGTTTTTGTATTCTGGTGTCCCTCAAGTTAAAGTTGCAGCGCAAGGTAAGACACACGAACACTTTCTCTTCCTCTCCTTTTTTCTTTTTTTTTTAAACCTTGAGCTGGAAACTTCAGCAACGGACCAACTATCCCGGAATCTCACACTGCTAACTTAAAAAAAATTCTTACAAAGACACCCAAGCGAAAAAGCTCATCTGTTTCGAGCTTTCAGAGCAGTAACTTAAGTTTGCTGTGTTCCAAATCCGAGCAGCATCCTAGGGACTCGACGTTCGCAGACAGAATCAAGACCGAGTCGCTAGATGAAAGGAACTCGTCTGCATGACGTCTGCCCGACGTGACGCCACCTAGCGTCGACAAGAGAAATTTAAGAATATCCAATAAAATCGCTTTGCCGTTAACACTTTCCATGCTCACGTCTGTAAGAACTTCAACGTAGCTGAAGTTCGGCGCGTAACGAATGCTCGCGATGTCTTCATTCGAGCTGGCGACCTGCGACCGCCTTCTTGCTTGCACAGCTAACTAGCCTGCGTCGTATTTGTCTCCGATGCTGTCTGTTTTGCCGGCTTCTGAGGGAGATAGAAAGAGAGAGAAAACCTTCATTTCGGCGCATTAAAAGACACTCCTCGTAGGGTGAAGCCCTTCGTTCAGGGCCCCATTGGCTCGCGCCACTCCACGTGTCCTCTGTATCATCCGACGCTGCTAATGCGGTCCTGAGCGAAAATGGTAATGGTACTCAAGATGGCCGCCGTCTGCTTAGCTGTCTATTTAGCCGTCTTCGATGGATATTGTAACACACTCACTGCTGATCACTGAGAGGACAAGTATCAGTGAGAGGATCAGTATCAGTGAGAGGACAAGATCAAGTGGCAACAAAATAAGGCGAACGAGACCAGCAAAGTAATGTGACCTGCTCCGAAGGCGAAAAAGAAGCTCTGTCCTGGGTTGGCCCTGAGTAGCCGTAGCACGCGGTCGCCCATGCGGTGGTTTCGCTTGTAGATCAGCTCGTGCCGGAAGTACCGGTCTATGTCCCTGGCCAGCCGGAGCTCGCGTGCCGAAAGCCGCAGGGAGGTGTTGGCCAGCGGAGGAACCTGCGCAGTGTCCCTGCACCAACAACACACAAGACAGCATACATGGCGCAACGCCGACATTCTGAGAGGGGGAAAAAGGGGGACCAGAAAAAAAAATCGGCGCGAAAGACCAAGCACAAGAAAAAAGGAGACACAAACATCACCGCTGACACACAACAGTTTATTCGATAACGCTAACCTCCCTGTCCTTCCTCATTTATTCCTCGTCCTCCTTATTCGATAACACCGCAAATAGATATATTTACGCAATTGCAAACGAAATAAAGAAGGAAAGATGATAAACAGTGGTAAAAGTCAGAACAAACTACTATGATTAAAAAAACTATCAGCACCCTCACTGCTAACCATGTACATGGCGCATGCAACCATCTGACATATAATTTATTTTCCTGTCAAAGCAACTGAAGCCCACTCGCGCACTCACGCGCTGCCGAGCCTTGCTATTTATAACGCCTCCGAGATTTCTCGTGTCAGCTGGTCCCGATGACGCCTGACAACCATGCAACGTTGACACACGGCAACCACTGCATTCCCGAGATCTAGATGAGCATGTCTCACGCTATGAAATCTTGCGAGACGCGCCAAACAGGTCCTTGCGTTAACATTGTTGACGGCTCTCCACGACAGCTACACCTGCTTCCGTTCAGAGAGGAGCATTTCTTTTCCACTACGATACTTTCTTTCTCATAGATCTCTCCGTTATAACGATCTTGTCCTCTTCTTTGGAAAGCTTTTTTCACTGCATAAATGGTCACTATGTTGAAAAGCCGCCTTAACGAGCCACATGTGCTGCGAAAAAGCTTTCGCAGTTTCCGTGAAGGAACTCTCCTTGAGTAAGAGCGGCTTAGCGCTCATTAGCGCAAGGAATCGGGTGCATAAAAAAGTTAATTAGCACGCTTGGAAACAGGTACGGAACTTTATTACTCGTAGTCAATTGTTCTTTCTTTCTTTCTTTCTTTCTTTCTTTCTTTCTTTCTTTCTTTCTTTCTTTCTTTCTTTCTTTCTTTCTTAAAGTAGAAACAATCAACCTCCTCAAAAAAAGACGCGAAAAGACAGACAGCAGGAGCAGGAAGATGATCTAATGAAGGGACTGCACAGACAATGACTGTTGTGGTGAAATTGAAAGCTGCACCATGGTGACGAGTTGTTGGGTATTGATGTTCAAATCTCAGCGAATACAAAGGGCACAGACAGAGCGAAGTTGGAAAGAACTGTCCATATTGTACAAATTGTGCGACAAGGCACGTAACGCTTTAGCCTCAAACTCGGACACTTGTTTATATCTTCGGGAAATTATGTGGGAACATGCGATATTTGTTGCTAAAATCATTTCCTGCTTATAGGATCAATCCTTTGTTATTAATATTGCTTCCTCGTGTCAGTTCGGCAAGCGTCGCAGTATTTCACGCGAAGTTGTGCTCAACTAGGAGCCAGACTTCACTTTGTTCGCACAACGATGTGGAGTTTAGGCGCAATTCCAATGGTTCGTTGTTGTGTAAAGATAACAACATTCATCACGTCGAAGCCGTTCGCTGCTGGCACATTTAGCCTTGCCAGCAATAGCCTTGCGTATCCTTTAAAAGACTTGGGTATCCTTTAAAAGCGCACACGGACGAGCAAAAGCTACGCGCGCAGGTCGACGGAGCAGTGCACAGTTGGGTCATGGATGACGGCCCAAAGTTGGCCCTCCCGTCCTTAACTGCCCGAAGGATGTGGGTTTGGTACTTGCCAGCGGCACGTTGTCTTTCGTAGTTTATTTTGCCACGTTTATATCACGGGACCCCTTCACACGCTATGTGATCCTCGAGCTATACCGAAACGACTGCAAATTCCGCTGTGAAAATGAAAACACAGAACACAGCACTCGTCTGTGTTCTGTGCGTCTCATATGGTCTTCGTCTAAATCGCGCTGAAGCCTATCCAATTAAGACACTACATCACGTGTTATGGGGGTGTGGACGCAAACCATCCTATCACTGGGCCACGCATCCAACAGTGTGGGAAACCCAGTTGGCAAGCCCATGGATGGATGGATTGATGTGGCTGTACCATTTAGATCGGGCGGTGGCTAACACCACCATTCCGTAATACTTAGTGAACCAAAAACTAGATTTTTTTTTCCTTTAAACAGTGTGGTTGAGGACTGGTACTTTGCAGTGAAGGGTTTAATTTTTACTCGTGCCTTGACTTTAGCCACCAATCAGATAACCTACTTCTAGTTAATTCTACCCGCTGAAAGTCTATTTTGTCCTCCATGTCCTTTTACCCCAGTGCTTTAAACCCCAAGTTTTAAAAACCGGCGACCTCTGGTGGACGGGGCCAAGCTGGAATCTCGCGCCTATGGCACCCTTAACTATAGACACGCCGCCCACGTTGAACGGTTATGCCATCGGCTCACTCCACTGAAGAAAGGTGCGAGACACCGCTCGATTTTCGTTGTTGTTGAGGCATCTAACGCTTTTGTCTTGATAAAAGGGACAGATGCTTCGTTTACATGGCCGCGTCGCTCGTGGTGCGTGTGCAACAGTGTCATTCGTACCTGCGGAACACCACGGCGTCCAGGTCCCCGCAGTTGTAGTGCCGTATAAGGTCGTCGGCTCCGTAACCCGAGCGCTGCGCGCCGCGCCGGGTGCGCTCGTGCTGCCGCAGCGTTTGGTCCAGCGCGAACAGCACCTGCGTGGAAGGAAGCTCGTCGTCATCGACTGTCCGGCCTTGTAAACTCGTCGCTTGTAATCATACGCCCACAGGCGTGCACTATAAAGAAAGACTCTTTAAGCGTCAAGTGAAGGCAGACTATTGTTGATCCCTCCTTCGTGAGAAACGGTCATTTAATAGAGAACTGAAAGAGCGCAATACAATGCAACGCAATACAATTCAATACAATATAGATTTACTTCCAGAAATGCACCTCTTCTTCCTTGCCACCCAAGAGCAGACAGCCGAAACAAAGTGGCTAGTTCCAATGGGTTACAACGCGAGCACCAGAGAAGATACGCAGGAGACGACTCCTCGTCTTCTCATCATGTACCAATTGGTAGCCAGAACAGAAAGCATTCACCGCCCCTCGCACCCCTCTCTAAGTTTTTCACTACCCTCTCTTACCCATATACTCAAGTAAAAAAGAAAGCGAATAATCCCGGTGTCGCCCCTATCGCATAGTCTGGAACGTCGCCTACAAATTCCGTGCTAATGGGAACCAACCACACCGTTCCTCCTACCACGAAAACATCCGGACGTGGACATCTAGGATTGGTCGCACGTATACAGTGGGCACATCGCGTTAACATTAGTTCCGCAGACAGCGCACCCGCGTTACCATTATCTCTTTCGCAAACACCCAAGGGGCGACGCTTCGCCATCACACAAACACGCGCATGCACTAGGAACATGCGTTGAAAGCCGGCACCCAGCTCGCCTTCGAGGCGCTGGGGACGGTCTAATGGGTCTCGAGATTAATGAAGATTAAGTTAAACGACCTTCGCCCAACACAGCGCAGCCAGGAGAAAGAGAGAGAGGTCACGTGGTACGATGATAGCACCGGCGATCAAATCGATACTCTCTCGACGCTGGCCTGCGTGATCTGCGTGCACGATAGCGATTTTATTTGCGCGTATCTCGGGAACGGAGGAAGCGTCAAAGCAGTGAAGAGGAAACTTGGGATAGGCAAAAGTCGGATGTATGCACTAAGGGACAAAGAAGGCAAAATAACTACCAATATGGATAGGATAGTTAAAATAGCGGAGGAGTTTTACAGAGATCTGTACAGTAGCCGGGACAACCACAACTTTAATACTATAAGAACTAGCAGTAACCCAGATGACACCCCACCAGTAATGATAGAAGAAGTCAGAAAAGCTTTGGAGAGCATGCAAAGAGGCAAAGCTGCTGGTTAGGATCAGGTAACATCAGATCTGTTGAAAGATGGAGGATAGATTGTGTTAGAAAAACTAGCCACCCTGTTTACGAGGTATCTCCTGACGGGAAGAGTACCAGAGTCCTGGAAGAACGCTAACATCATCTTAATACATAAGAAAGGAGATGACAAGGACTTGAAGAATTACAGGCCGATCAGCTTGCTCTCTGTAGTATACAAGCTATTTACGAAGGTAATTGCTAACAGAGTAAAGAAAACATTAGAATTCAATCAACCAAAAGAACAAGCAGGATTTCGAAAAGGCTACTCAACAATCGACCACATTCATACTATCAATCAGGTAATAGAGAAATGCTCATAATATAGCCAACCACTATACATAGCCTTCATAGATTACGAGAAGGCGTTTGATTCAGTAGAAATATCAGCCGTCATGCAGACACTGCGGAATCAGGGCGTCGATGAAGTATATATAAACATCCTGGAAGAAATCTACAGGGGATCAACTGCTACCATAGTGCTTCATAAAGAAAGCAACAGAATACCAATCAAGAAGGGTGTAAGGCAGGGGGATACAATCTCCCCAATGCTATTTACCGCGAGCTTACAGGTGGCTTTCAGAGGCCTAGAATGGGAACAGTTAGGGATAAGAGTTAATGGAGAGTACCTCGGTAACCAGCGCTTCGCCGATGACATTGCATTGCTGAGTAACTGAGGGGACGAATTGGAACTCATGATTACAGAGTTAGTCAAGGAGAGCAGAAAGGTGGGTTTTAAAATTAATCTGCAGAAAACGAAAGTAATGTACAACAACCTCGGAAAAGAGCAGCGCTTCGAGATAGGTAATAGTGCACTTCAAGTTGTGAAAGACTGTCTACTTAGGGGCAGGTAATAACCGCAAAGCCGAACCATGAGATTGAAGTAACTAGAAGAATAAGAATGGGGTGGATCACATTTCGTAAGCACTATTAAATCATGACAGGTAGATTGCCACTATCCCTGAATAGGAAGCTATATAACAGCTGCATCTTGCCGGTACTTTGCTATAGAGCACAAACCTGTGGAGACTTACAAAGAGGGTTCAGCTTAAATTGAGGACGACGCAGCGAGCAATGGAAAGAAAAATGGGAGGTGTAACCTTAAAAGACAAGAAGAGAGCAGAGTGGATTAGGGAACAAACGGGGGTTAAGGATATCATAGTGGAAATTAAGAAGAGGAAATGAACATGGGCCGGGAATGTAGCGCGTAGACAGGATAACCGCTGGTCATTAAGGGTAACTAACTGGATAGGGAGAGACAAAAGGTTAGGTGGGCAGACGAGACTAAGACGTTTGCGGGTATAAATTGGCAGCAGCAAGCACCTGCCGGACCGGGTTCACTGGCGGAGCATGGGAGAGGCCTTTGTTCTGCAGTGGACGTAGTCAGGCTGTTGTTGTCGTTGTTGTTGTTGTTGTTGATGATGATGATGATGATGATGACGTGTTTGTAGCAGGAGGTTACGTGGATTAAGTCCGATGAGCTTAATAGCGAACATAATTAATTGATAAGTCAGTGATACCCGCCACGGTGGTCTTGCGGTTAAGTTTCTCTGCCCGCAGGTCGCGGGGTCGAATGCCCGCCGCGGCGGCCGCATTTTAGATGGAAGAGAAAATGCTTGAGGCCCGTGTGCTCAGATTTAGGGGTACGTTATGTAGCCCCAAGTGGTCGGAATTCCCGGAGTCCCCCAACCACGGCGTCTCTCATAATCCTATCGCGGTTCGATGTGCAAGGCGACGCCTTTGATAAATTCCAATTCGTGTCGAGTGGTAATTTTGCGCTTGTAACGAACAACAAAAACAGTACTGCAGCAGATGTATACTATACTATCCCCCGTATTCAGAAACGCTTTTCGACTCGAATTCCATCCTTCACTTGACTGAGTAGAGCACTGCGCCGCTGCTCGACTGAAATTGACGCTGCGCTTCTCAAAAATCGCTGCAGAATATTGCTGATATGCAGTGAGTTGGTCTGCCAAGAGATGGCGCTCCCATCGACTTTTTCAAATCGAGGAGAGCCCTTGAGTGAAAGAGCGTTTGTGAATACGGGGGTATGTACGCGATGGCGTTCGGATTGTCATGGCATTATTAATTTTGCGCTGAACTAAAAAAAGATCATTCGCGTAATAGCCGAAAACGCTGCTTTCCACGAATCTCAAACGTAATCGTTCAGAGGCGGTCAATTTGCGAACCGCTATAGGGACTACCGCAATTCTTGCGAAGGTTTTCGACGCGGGAACAAACGCTTACACTTCGAAGCACCAATTAACTCATCTGCATGGTTTGAGAGCCTTGGCCTTTCAGTGTCCTTTTCACTTTGAGTTGGATTCGCGTTTTGTAAAATACCCGAGGCTGCCCGAAAAAATACCGTTATATTGGGAACAATGATCTGTATCCGGGCTCCGAAGACAGCTGCACCGTTATTCGCGGGCGAATTGAAAGGCTTCGGCGAAGTGAAGTAATGGGTCTTGTTTCTTCGCGTGCACGTGCAAACGGACTGTATACCCTCTTCGATGGTAATGAATGAAAAAAATAAAAATAAAACGCAAGTGCTTGCGCGACACGCTAACGTCTTGAAAGGAATAGAAAGGAAAGTTCAGCCCCCCTCCTCTTCTCCATCCTCTCTCTCACTACGCTCCTTCCTTTTTACCCTCGCTTTAAAAGAGTATCGATTATTCGCATAAATTATTTTTAGACTAATGCAGCAGCCACGCTCTGAAGAAAGCTCGCACACGCGGATTCATGAACCCGCATAGAAAAAAAGTAAGTGTGTGTGTGTGGGGGGGGGGGGGAGCATTTTAAATGCGCCACCGTCCCGAACCGACCGAATCTTCGTTGATTTTGCTTTTAACGCAGACTACTTGAATGGGCACAGTTAACTTCTAATTTGTTTTCATCTTTTTCCCTAATTACATGAAAAAAATCGTGGACAGAAGTTCGTGAACAGAAGTTTCGACAAGCGGCATTGTCTTCTTTCAGATGGAGCCCTAAAACGCAGGCTTTAGTGACATTAATGCGTGTTTACGAATTTTTAAAATCTTCTCCAGATTCTGCGTTCCCCTGAATTTTTGCCTCATTTGGATGTTTTAATTACATGCATGTCACAGTTAGCACCTTTGTCTTTTGCTTTACTGAGTCTTTAGTTGCAGTCAATTGGACGTGTTTACTGTGGTAGTCTTTATACTATCTTACTTCACATCATTGATCTTCATTCCCATCTGCCTCGTCACATTTATGAAATGAAGCCACCGCGGTGACACAGTGGTTATGGGGCTCCGCTGCTAACTTCAATGTCGTGGTTTCGATTTCGGCCGTGGCAGTCGCATCTCGATGGATATGGTATGCTGTAGGCTCGTGTACTGTGCGATTTCTGCACGGATTTCGTTTCATAACTCCAGTTGGTCGAAATGATTCGCATCCCTTCATTATACGGTGTCTCATAGCCCGGGTGGCGTAACCTATACCTCTGAATCGGCTCCCATCTTGAGAGAAATAAAATTCTATCCGTAATCATCATTGCATCACTGCGTAATCATCATTGCAACGACGGGCGGCGCCACTGTTCTTATCGTAACTGGGAATATCCACGGCGCGTCTTTTCTCGCCGCGACACTGGCGCCCCCGTTACCGCGCACGTGCTAAGCTTTTGGATTGCATTTGTGGCGCGTCACAATGTAACTATTGCTGACTAGCGGTGCTCCAGTCCTAATGAAAAGCGCATGCACACAAGTGCCCTTGTCGCCGCTTCCAAATACGGTGACAGA